GAAGCAGACAATGAAATAATTTGCATCTATGTGGTATACAAGTGCTAGATAAGCCTCTACCTTCTTTATGTTCACCACCTTCCAGTGTTCTGTGCTTTGAAGCCCCTGCCAGCATTTGCAGTCTTAGTTCCTGTCTATATTTAAGAACCTTCATAAAAACCTTTCATAGAAATGAAGTATTGGCAGCTCCTGGGAAATTTTGAACAAACACTTGTGTATTTTAGTTGATGTGCTACAGCTTCACTTGCTTCTGATTGCAAGGCCACACACCAAGGCTGAATTCTTGGACTCAGGGTCCTCTGACATTCAATACTGTATCCAGCTGCCTTTATTGTCTGTCAGTCTTCCCAGGAAGAGCAGATGCTGTTCATTTTCTCTCATGCTGTCCTAGGCAAAAAGGGGGTCCTTGGGCTTTCAGAAGGGGGTCATTAGTGAGTAACTCTTCATTTTGGTTCTTAGAAAAGGACTTAAAACTGTGAGCCCACTGGGTATGTGCTACCTGTAGAAACTGTCCACCCACACTGATAGAATAATTTCACCTCAAAAAGTGGCTTATCCAGTGTTGGTAGCAATCCTTACAGTTCATTTCTCTGTGAGACAGAGAAAAAAAATTCTCTATAGCAGGTACTTCCTTCAGTACCAGCTATATTCAAAAGTAAGCATTCCTATAGTACCAGCTACATACAAAAGTAAGCTTTGTGAGTATTGGATGATAGGAGCTGCAATATACAAAGATTGTACTGCAGTGTTTTAAGCTTCTTTCTATTTTTGCTTCCTGGCAAAAGGCATCCCTGAAATAACTGAATTCCCACAAATGTTCTGTTTCAGACCTTGTTACAAGGAAAAGGCACCCAGTCAAACTCAGATGGCTTAAAAATACATCACTGGCATCTCAGTAAATACCTAGATGAATATTTTTTAGGCAAAGACAAATACACAAGTCAAGGGGAACACAGAACTGCCAAAACATGGCTCCCTTTACACCTTTTTGGTTGGCACCACCCTCACCCCCATTTGTCTTGTACTCCCTCACCTTGGGATAGCTGATGCCCAACTTGCTTCTCTCTTAAGCAAATCTGGCCCAGTCCAGCATTTGATAAGGAATAGACTGTGTAGGAGCATGTAAGCCTAAATAAATACTATTATTCTTGACTGCCAGGATTGGGTTTTTTTGACAGCTTTCTTCATCAAGTGCCAGGAATTTTGAAGAAGACTAGGCTGCATTATATTACTGTGCGAATGTATTTAAATTTTCATTAATAATCTGAAGCTAATGGTATGCTGGGCCAGCAACTTAAGTTTAGAAGATAAAGACTTGACTATTCCAAAACACTGAAGTTATTCACTCAATATGAAACTAATCTAATTGTCTTAGATCAGAATTTACATGATATTAAGCATATTCTGACAGCACAGTGATAAGAGGAGAAGAAAATAGTGTGCAGAGCTGTACTGTGTACATTCATCTTCATATTACTTTGGGGAAGATTTTTTTCCCACTTAGAGTTTGAAGATCCTCCCACAAAATGCAAATAAAAGGAGGGGGGGTTCAAATCTAATCTATCATGTTTGTTACTATTAACAAGTCTCTGATGTCATCAAAATCATAACAAGTGGTTTGGATATATTACGAATCATCAGATAAGAATTCCAGTAGCTGGAATAATGTCAATTAATAGACACGAATCAAAATTTTTTTGGCAAAGAACTCCACACAGCATAATATTGTCTTATTACTATGAATAAAGTACCATGCTGTGATCCCCAAAATGTAAAGAAAAATTAGCTAAGTGCCCTTACAAACAGCAAAGATGTCAGACACCAGTGTGAAACAGCATTGCCGAATTGCTGGGTATCTTCTGTCTTTGGCTGGTTTTTGACCATCGGCTATTATTCCACAGGCCAAGGACAGATAGTTGTGATTTGTGTTTCTTCACAGCTACTCACAGCTTTCTGAACTGGAAAATTGCTGACTGGACAGCAGCCAGCAACCGCCCAGGGCTGTGCTGGAATGGCCAGAAACTTGGGAAGGTAATCATTAATCTGTGCCCGTGCCGCTTGGGCAGATACCAGGCTCGCTCATGACCTGCCTAGGGCACTGAAGAATTAGGATTTCTGACAGAGGCTCAGTGTTGCTCCCTCACAGATCTGAATGTGCTGGCAGGGCTGATGCCAAGCACTCAGCCATCAGTAAAGGACACAGTAAAGGCAGTGAATATATGAACAGAAAAGAGTTGGCAGAAGTCATTGTTTAGTTTTGTTTCTTTGCCCAAGCTTCCTACAGACAATATTTTTTTAACCCTTATTATGCTTTTGAATGCTTTTCCTGTGCGTGTTGTCAGTGTTACAAAGATTTCTTTTATGTATTGCTGTTCCCTTTGTTCATGTTCCAGCCTACCATAGGGAACACCAAGTTTTCTTCCTAGTCTTTGGGCTAGAGAAAGCTGCAGATGTCTCAAATGCAGTGTCCTCATCCCTCCTACTAAGTACAATGTTGTGCTTCTCTGTAACATTCCAGCACTTCAAGGGATTTAGGTCAAGTGAAAAGGCACAGAAAGCTGAAATTCAATTTATTTTGAGGCTGGACCACTGTCACCTCGTGAACTTCTCCTGAAGCTTATATTATATCATTAAACATGTACAAGCTTGCAATATTCTGTTGTATCTGAGCAATTTATTAAATGGATTCCACAGAGAAAATCTGGAGATTCAGGCACTTTGGACTTGAAGCAATTGCATGTGTACAGCAGGAGTTGTAATTCCTTCTCTTAGGCATAAGATTTGAAAATAACTTTTCACAAAATGAAGCTTACAAAGGGGAACGCAGGATTTATTTTTTTCTTGCATGTATTAAATTTCATTTTTTAAGCAGTTGTACTAATAAAGGATCGCTGGAGACATTCACTGTCTCCAAGTCTTCAGTTTTAGGAAGCTGTTAACTTGATCTTAGAAAATGTTAAGCATTACTTGTGATCTTTGATCACTATATTTTAATAAAACAGCTCAATGCTTTCTTCTATCCTCTGCTTCCCTGCTTCTGGAGTTGTTTTTCTAGTTCGCCTTTTCTTCTAGTATAAATAATTTCCATTGTCCAGATTTGTGGGGCTTTCCTTCCAGTTTGACTTCCCAGGAAATTACATTCCATATTAAATAAGGACTAAATTCAGTTCATTCAACAATCTCCAAAAGGCAGAATATGTAACAGTGCAGCCAAGCCATGAAATCTCCTGATCTTCTCTCTCCAGGTTGCCTTGTACCTTACAGCCTAGTTGTGGTGTTGGGGTGTCTGCACGTGTTGTTGCTTGCACACAGACTGAGCTCTCCCTGGAAAACCTGGGCTCATCTAAAAACTGTAGGTGTTTGCTCATGAAATAAATGTGAATTCAAACTCAAGGAATGTTTGTACACAATTGTCTAACAAATCGGGGTAGATTCAAATCAAATTTGATTAGATTAATTTTGAACTGTAATTTCTGATTCCTGTTCCTGACTTGTGAAAAGGTATATATGAACAGATCTGTCAGTTTTTTTTCTGTTCTGTCCATTCAGAAATTAGGTTTTGCTTTCATAATTTTTTACATTGAGCACTACTGACAATAGTAATGAGAGTACATTACTGACATTTCCTTATTATACTTCAAAAACTCTCCTTGCTGCACAAAATTTGCTTTTAAAAATGTTATTTTAGCTTTCCTAGTATAAAGCAGTATGAGTATCTTTACGTTTAAAAATATAATTTGAGCTGATACTATTATATCCATACCCTGTAAAACTAATATTTAGAAAGTTATATGACATAAACTCAGTATAATATAAATAACCCTGTAGGGTAGATTATTTTGTTGGAAGTACTTAGAAACCTGAGTTCAACATGCATGAAAAGATTAACACTTCTATTTTTAAAAATTGTCTTTCTGTTTGAGAACAAATACCACATTACATCACAGTTAAGACTTTTTGAGGGTAAAGTCCATGAAAAATAATCTGCTTAAAACCAAACACAGTCCAAAACCTACAGGCATCAGTAAATCTATGTAAGAAAATGTATTTAAACACAGTGTTCTGACAATGGAATGGGGTATTTTCAGACTCCTTTAACACATGAAAACCAGTAATTAGAAAATTTAATAATATAATTACATATATTTAATCACTTTTTCCAACAGAATGACAGAACTTCACTGAAATGTTATTAGAGCTTTTAATTTTAAATTGCTTATTGAACGGACTGATTTTGACCTTTAGCCAAAGATAAAATTAACCATAAAAGCAAAAGAATAAGATGTTCAGGTACTGCAACTTGTGATAGGTACTACAAGGTCAGCAGAGCTTTGAAAGTTTATCACTCCTGTCTACTCAATTAATTCAAGACATCTGTTTGGATTCTAGATGTGCCAAGAGACCTAGTGTAAATGAAGTAATAACTTTACAGAGATAATATTTTTTTATTCTTTTTCTAAGCACCGGAGTTACACCTGAGTTTTGTATTAAAAACACATTATCTGTTGTTCTTAAAATCTGTCTGTAAGGTAAACCAATTATAAGCTAGATTATTAATGTATTAAATTTTGCGTATCTAACTTCACTAAAAAGAGCATCCAGAAAACTGCAAATAATTTTTACTTTATCATTTTAAAGCATCCTACTGGAGTGGCCAGTGGACAATTTTTTTTTCTTGTGGTTTTCTGTTTGTTACAGAAAAGCTCTCAGGACTTGCTTTTGTGAGGGTTCAGTATCATTCAGTAAATGCAGTTAGTAAAGGTAACAGTGCTATGGAACTATAGATATTATTAGCCATAAGAAGTCGTCATGTTGATGATCCAGTCTGTTCAACATGCACATGAACCCTTTGGGATTTACAGCTCAGTACAGAAGACCAGTCCCTCACTGATCAGCAAATTCAAGAGCAAGAAACACACAAACCTGAGAACGTGCTCTGTGCCTTCTCAGTGGAGGTGCATCCAATTTGATTTAGTCCTGCTGCCCAGAGAATGACTTACCATAACATGTTCTCATTGTGCATCATTTTGTGGTGACTTTCAGTCTTTGTGATGATACAGGTCCCTTTAAAATCTATTTTTCTTCATTTTTTCACACTGTAGGCATAAAATAGCTACAGCACGGTTTTCACTAAATGATCTAAAACCCATGCCTAATTCATAGTATTAAAACCTGTTGCATTCCCTGTAATTTCCAAACTCTGCAGTTTAGACTGTAAGTCCTGATGATGATCCCAGTTTTTGCAAACCCAAATGTTTCTGCCTTTCAAAGTTTATGAGAAACAATTTATTAGAGAAAGCCATATGTGCCATTTTGTTTATAAGTTTTCATAAACCAAGGATGTCTGCATATTCTATTTGTCCATTCTTCTTCAGGATTATAGTTCTTTAATCATATCTGTGTTTCTAACGAGGCATGTTTCATTAAAAAGACTAAAAACCATGTTCAATCTACGCAATTAGAGAATTAATTTCATTTTTATGTTTTCTACTTGACTGATATTTTATGTATGGAAAATCTGACAAAATGGCTACCTGTAAGTGCTTAGTTAGGGAGACTATACCTGCTTATACAGTGCTCTTGCCCATGGTATCTCTATATTTAATCCTATCTTTAGTCAATACTAACCAAAATTAATCACTTTAAAAATGAATAGCTATGTCACACTGGATACCATAATGAATTTCACAGCTAAGCACCATTTCTGTATTTCAAAGAAAGGTCAAAACTACATATTGTATTCTCAACTACACTGCAATCTCATTTATATATAACGAGTCTCAAAAGGTTATGACTTTACATTCATTATGCTGTCATTACAATATGTATATTCTTTCTCGAGGTCCCAAGACCTATACATTCTCCTAATGGAGTCAGTATACATTTATAAGTTAGAAAATAATTTAAATTGCTATTGCGTTTGACAAGTAGTATAAGCTGTAGGTGTTAACAACACCCTGTATTTTCCCTCTTGGTTCCATTTGTTTGTTGTGTACCAGCAGTATGCACAGGCCTGCTGTTCACATTAGAGGAAAGCATTCCCAGAGCCAGAAACCATCAATAGGAAATTCTGAGATGAGGGTGTACCTTCGTGCTGCTATTCATTCATCTCCTTTGTCACCTAGATAATATTCAAAAGCACATCCAGATATATTTATAGTTCTAAACAGAACTTCTGTCATAGTTGAGACACAAGCTGCACTTGTAATGTCTTTACCTTTCAAATTTCCTGCTCATGGAAAATTTACAGTTTGTGATGCAGCTGAAATTCATAATGTGTGAGGCACCCTATCCTCACTGCAGTGTTGTGCCATCAGAGATCTCTTGTTGCAGCCTTGAGTGCCAAGTGAGGCTGTACTGTCAGACATGGACCTCAGCTACACGTTCCACCTTACCTGGCTCTCACAAGAGTCAGACCTTGCAGGCTGCTCTGGGATGTCTCTCCTGTGTCTGAGTGAATCCTGCATTACCACGCTCTGTACAATTAGGATGGCTTTTTTCACATGTACCATTTTTGACCCTGATCATTCAAATACCTGCATGCTGGCCAGTCAGGCCTTAAGTAGATGTTCACTAAAATAAATGCCAGTTACCAATTCTTGATATTTTCTGCCCTGTTAATATAATGAAGTCACAGAACACTTTCCTACCTTGAATCACTGATTAGTTTTCAGATTACTTTTCCTAAACATTTTTTTTTTTACTTCAGCTCTTCATCATCGTCAAACAGGGTAATATAAAACAGATAAATCAATGTCTATATACTTTAGTTGCATGTAATGCTGGATGGTATAGCTGTATCTTAGTAGAAAAAAGGAGTAAAAGCTATATTTTGAGGACATTACTATATTCACAGACTATTGTCTATTAGATGTCTACAAGAAATATTTTTTGTTTTGCATTTAACAATTTCACACAGTGGATATTAGAGTTGATGGGCAGACAAAAAGAAAATCTGGCAAGCAAAATATCTTTTGAAAAATACAGGGAAATGAAATGTAGTCTTGTTTTGGTATTACAAAAACACAGACTAAGTTTCAGGGAGCATGTATTTATTTTTTCCCTTATCCCTAGTGGAAATCACAGTCCTGAAATAGGTACGAAATTTTTTCTGTGGTATCCACAGGGATAGCAAGATGCCGCTTAAAAATGACTGCTACACTAACTAGTCTGCAGGTTGGATGTGGTAGCCTCCTGCATTCCCAGGAGGGAAATGAAGACCTAAATCCATTCTATCCTAGGCACATTGATACTTAATTCTAGGCTGAGGAAAAGTGCCTATTTCCACCAGGGACTGAGACAGCTGACTATTCACCCCTGAGCTGGGTCTAATACAGATATTATACCCTCTCAAAAGACAGCTGAGAAACTTCCTATCAATTAATCCAATGATCACACCACTCCTTTTCTAAGGAGTTAGAAAAAATAGATCCAAATTTGGGATTTAGCTCCCTGCCTCATATCAGATTCTTACCAGGGCACGATAGTGTCAGTGTTCTGAAACAGACCTCTGGAAGCTGGTGGACTTTGCATTAACAAAATATCATCTGAAGCGAGAAGTAGAGATTGGTTGAATCCCCCAAGCTTTAGGATATTTAGTATTCACAGCTTCCTTCTGCAAAATACTCAAGCATTAAGGAATTTATTAGTGGACAGTAGTGCATAGAAACATTTTAGATGTCAGCCTGGCAGGGACACAGATGAATCCAGCCCCTCTCTAATGCTGGGGCAGTGATGTGTACCCACGTGTGCACTTCAGCACAGGAGGGAGCGCCTGCCTGCTCCCTCCTGCTCTCCAGCAGCCTCCTCTGGCATCAAAAAGCCACCCTGTATCAAACTGCCTTGGTGCTGCACATTCAAACAATGCAGAACTGAGAATTACTCTGGTACTTGATTAATCCTGACACACAGTTTACGTGCGCTGACCCTGACAGGAAATTGTAGCCTGATTTGGTACCTGATACCATTTTTGGTGTCTCCTGTGAAGCATCTCTAAACATGATAATCCACCCAACTTTGATGTTTTAAAGGAACATAAACATCTGGCTTTGGAATTGAGACCAGGCCAATGATTAAAGCAAGAGTCAGGGTGTAAAAATAAAGACTTTGAATAGTTTCTTTTGAGAGGTAAAAGTACAGTAATTGCTAGTAAAAAGAAGCAGAGGAAGGCATAGAGTTATAAACACAGAGCTTAACAGGTAAATGTTTGCAGACTTGGTCTTGTTTTACTGCTAGCACCATGGAGTTTTTCCAAGTGGGAAATACATTGCAGTCTATTTTTTGGATAAAAGATGTGGAAAATAGATTGGTAGTAAAGCTGCCAGTATTATTTCTGCCAGGTGAATCTTGAGACTGCAGGCTTTCTACAGTGATGTTTATTTGTTTTTCAGTTCACAGACAAAGAAGACTGTGCTAAATAAAATAAGGTATAATTACCTGAAAAATTAAGATGTATCAGGACACTCTGAAATACACATACTATAAAATGTAGCTATTACCAGAAATTACCACCTCACTCAAAAAACCCTCTATGAATTCTGAGCACGAGTTCTTATTTTACTGGCAAAGATTTTTTTTTAGTATTCTCACTACTTTTAAATATCATGTTTATTGCAAAACATGTAGTCGCTGGGTTAATATAAGGGATTACAGTAATCAGTTATATTCAAATGGCATGGTAGTTTTAGAAGCAGCAGTTTATCATTAACTACTTCTAGAAAATGTAATTTTAAATGAATCGTTTCTTTCTCTTATGTCAAAAAGAAATTCAGACTAAATCCATTTTTGCCTTTTAGATTTTCTACAATTATGTTCATGACGAAAACCTCAGAACCCTGAAACCCAATATAAAAAGACAGCATTTATCAATTAGATCTCCACGTATATTATCTAATACTTGAGTGTAAGCAAAATGTCAAAAAAATAAAACAGTAGAGTTTAATGTCCTATATCTCTCCCAAGAATAATGACATGGACAAATATTTCAGACTTTAGACTGGTCAGTATAAAGTTACTTGGGACTATTATTTACTCTCCTCCCTGAGGTTATTCTTCCCTCTGTGGCCTCATTGAACTGCTCTTTTCCAAAACACTCCAGCTTATTTCTTAATAATACTCTGTTGTATTTATTAAGTGAAATCATGGCACACTTATGACAGTAACGGTTTTTTTCAGAAAAACCAAGTTAAAATCTGACATCTGGGCAACTACCAACATTTTTGTTTCATTGGTTATCTTGAAATCTGTGCATCCGAATTCTCAAAACAATTTTCATTGTTCAAGAAACTAAATTCATACCACACTACATAACTTATCACTTGGCTTCCTTGCTGCAGAACAAGCAATTTTTCAGTTAGCAACCATTTTGTACCTTGCTAGCATATATGGTGCTGTATTAGGTCTGGATAGCAAATGCTGTCTTGGTTAAGAAACAGGAAAAAAGTCTTCACAGTTACTATATACATCAGGTTTTTTTAATTGATTCTCTTATTATTCTCATTTAATTAAGTAACTTTGCATCATGACATGAATATGGATTGTTATGTTCATTGCATTGCTCTACTTTTTATACAACATTTGACAAAATCTCTGCTGTGTGTATTGTAGGGTTGCTCTTCTTCCTCAAGCCAATCTGCTGGCCAATTCTGGCCAACTTTCCACTGTCATCCTCAGTAGCTTTATGGGCTAGTGTAAAGGAAATTAAAGAAATGCTGTTCATCATCAGAGTCTGGAGAAATCTCTTCATGGTTAAGAACTTACATTTTTAGGCTCTCTTTTAGAGTGAATGAATGACACAAAAGTTGTTGTCAACAGTGTAAAGGCAGATCCTAAAACAATCCCCAGGAAGGCTCTGAAGAGAGACAGTGAGCTTGGGTCATGTACAGCATTAGAGAAGATAGAGGGCAGGGATATTTGGATTCAGAGAATCACTCTCATATGAAAACAACGTAATTATAGGGCCAAATTTCTTAACAGCCCAAACTCAGCTACTAGTGTGAAAGTCTAGAGTAGATGCAAAGATTACTAAGGTATTTTTGGGGTCTAAGCAGTATTATGAGTATTAATGGTGGACACAGGCATTGGATGGTGCTGACAATTTTCAGTTGTAAACTGAGAAAACTAGAATTACCTTTTCTTCCAGTAAAGGCTGGTGAATGTCAGCTAGAGGCTTCTGACATTCTGTCTAATGCTATTTCCTTTCTAAAAGTAAACTTTTTCTAAAAATGATTTATTTTAAACTGTCACATCTAAATAGGAAGAAACTATACTTGCTTTACCTCTTATGGTAATACACAAGTGCAGCATTTGGCTTATGTTAAAAGAAAATGTGGAAGTTAAATCAATACCTTCTCTTGTGTACTAATGCTTTAGTATTTTTGTTGCTTACTGTGAGACACAGGAGTAGTATGAAAATGAAATCTTGCTTATAATGAAGTGCTATTTCATGATAAATGCTGTCATAGTGTTGCAGTATCACTCATAGTAATATTTTAATATGTGATTAACTCAACTAGGTAAATGACGAAGGTAATTAAAATGCTGTTATTAACATGTAAAATAATTTAAGAGAATAGTTGAGTGATAGATCAGTTCACATACTTCACAGGAAACATGAACACAACCAGCATTATTGTCTCCCACTTGAACAGTAAGTCAGCTGATTTCAACATGAAACTCTCCAGAATTCTTTGAAGTACAATACTGCTTTCTTCTGGGGGCACTGTAGGTTAATAGCATACTTAAACCAAGCTAAAATAAGACAATGTTTCAATCAATTCAAATGACACAGAGCTGAAATTCTCAACTTAGTGTCTACTGAGACCTCCTTTTTCAGCTTGAGAGTTCTTATCTCTCCAGTCAAGCAAAGAAATCCACTTTCCTTGGAAACATGGAAAGTCTGTAATCACCATAATGCCCTGACACTTGCTTGCCACTCCATTGAGCATTACAACTCTTTGGACTCATATCCTTTGAGACGTGATGGGAGTTTCTTTTTATTTTTCCCAGTTAGCCAATTAGATTCTAGTGTAGATTAAAACAGTTGAGTGCACATCCAAAAAAAGAGTGAGATCAGTTCTTTGGAAGAACCTGTCCTCTCCTCTAAGCCTGACTTACAGATGTTCAAGAACTCACTTTTCCTGATCATTAGGCAGAGCCATAAAATCCATGGTAAACAGAATTGTTCCACTTACTGCCAAACAAGGACACAGAGTGTAAGAGGTTTTTCCACTTGCTTGTCAGTTTACCTGAAGAAAGAATTCTGATGACCAGGACCTGTCTTACCCACAGTAGCCACTCTCAGAGACACATACTATCTTGGAAATGCATGTAGCAAAGTGATTTGCCCACCGTAGGGGTCCACTTTTGTTGTAAAGTAAAACAACATGTAATAAACTAATTATTTTGAATTGTTATTTCTTGGTTTGCAGAAATCATGGCCTCTTCCAAGCTTGCAAAAAAGCTAAAGCTGCCAGCATGCATACAGAGAAATTGCTAACTCTGATTTGTTGCCTAGACATTGTCTTAAAACACAGACTCTGGAATGGGCAGTAGTCTCAGCAACAGCTCAGCATTACAAAAGGGCACAAGTTAATAAAAGTAGGAATACCTGTTCTTTAAATATATTTGTATATATAAAAATTATACTTACATATATATGCAAAAAATATACTTATATATGCAAGTCTTACAAGAAGTGGCTGAGGGAGCTGAGGCTGTTGAAGGATGAAAACAAAGAAAAAGATAACTGGGAAAAAAAATGAGGCAGCCAAAATAGCAAATATTCTTGCCTACTAATATGAAGTCTACACTTCTACTGGACTCTTAGGAGATGATAACTAGTAAAGAAGAATCTAGAACTACAGAATACTAGAACTATAGAAGAATACTAGAGCTATAATGAATAACTAACACAGATGACTGAGGAACAAAGATATAAAGAATTTCCCAACAAAGCACTCTAGGTAGCTTTCTTCTAAATCACATTTTCAGAGCTCCAAATACTTGCCAGCACTTTCTGCCTTTGTCTAAGTATGAGACACTTTTGGAAATAACACTATTTAATTCAGCACAGAAGAAGTCATCAATTTGTTCAGTTGCTGTCCCTGACAAAAGACTGTTAACTGATTACATATGCCATCTTGCCTCAAGTCTCCTAGCAGGAAACTACAAGAGAAGTAACAATCTCTGTCATACACAGTTTTTTGTGTGTATGAATCATAGCACAAATCTGAATAATACCACCAGCTGGTGCAAACGTATGGACAAAGGCAGGAGCACTACATTGTTCAGGTTTAGGATTTAGAAGAAAGATTGATGCTCCTTTCATTTTCTCTTTGTCCCCATTTTTCAGATATTTCACAGAATTATGTTCATACTTCTACAAAACTAATTCCAAGATGTTCAGGAACTCCATTAATGATTTATTTTAGCATCTTAAAAGGAGCACAAATGTTGACAATCTATTGAATATTAAAATTTCTCAAGCATTTCCTTATTTATATGATTTAAATAACTATTTTACAAGTTCTGTATTGTATTCTGATCCTCTGATCTCTTGAGAGCATATTTACCTAAATAAGTTTATTCAGCTTGCCAGCTATTTTAAAATTGACTAATTTAATCAATTCTTCATTAATCCGTATAACAATCTTCTCCTTGTATTTCTATCTCCCCTGCAATCCATTTATAAGAGCTTTTATCACTATACTGCCAACTGGGAAAACCTTTAATGAGATGAAAGCTGTAGTAAGAGATTTCCTGTTTTGTATCAATGCCTGCTGGAATGTTCTTTGTTTGATGAGTACAAGGACAGACCTAAAGAACAGCAACCTGAATATGCAGTACTAAACATTCAGGGTTTGCAATTGAATTTTACAAAATCCAGTACCATTTATTAGGCTTGAATGATGCTGTAGCCTTCGGTCTGACAAATTTGGAGTTGATACAGAGGATTTTAACCAGTAAAGATTGGACATATATTCTCCAAATATTCCTAGTGGGACACTGTAACTCAGTGATCTTCAAGAGTTACCACTGGGTTTCTTGGTGGCCTCTAGTTTTGTCTAGCCCAGCACTGCAGCACCACGAAATCAAGCTGAAGAGAGTTTATTTGAGAGGAGTTATCTCCATAAGGGAATGCAGCATTTTTTTAGTAAGTCTAGTGATTTGTTCTGCACCTTTGCCTTTTGTTACTTACTTTCTTTCATATGGCTTTCTCCATCACCCAGTTTTCTGCATCCTGAAATAACAAACAGTCTAAATGAATCATAGAGTTAAAAAAATTATATGAAAAGCAACTACCTAAGGAGGGCATTTCTCTTTGCTTTTTAAATTATGGGAAATAACTTTTTTGCAGCAGAATAATCTTGATTTTCTAGTAGTCTCTACCTGTCCATGGAGGAATTTGATAGCTCAAACTCCAGCAGAGTCAAAACCATCTCTGCTCTGAGATGGCACCAGTTTTACATCTGAATTCTTATCAGTCATCCTAAAAGCAATCCTACAATTATTATAGAGAACAAACTATTAATACTAATGAAATACTAATTAAAATCACATTTCTGTTACACTTGAAGACAGACAGAGGAAACACTCCTGTGGATGGCAAAGAAAATGCCAGTGACTCAATGAAATTTTGTAATCCCTATTTTAAATATTATCTTACCAGAGAAAAGTCAATCTAACACCAGTTACATATTACAAATGAGGGTTGGGGGGTTTTTAGGCATAATTTTTTTCTTTAATATGAAAAGTTACTATGGTAACAAACCTGCTATATACAGCTCATTTGAACTGAAATCTTCATAGCAGACTGGACAAATAACAATGAACTTCTGTTATTTCTTTTATGAAAAAATACCTTTATTGAACAATTTTTGCAAGGTATGTGCAATAGTAAAAACTTACGACTAGATACACCATATAAATTCCTCAGGACTCTAAAGGAAAATCAAAACTGTGATAGGAAAATAACATTTTGAAAAACTACCTTTTCCCCTCTCTTTTCGGAGCATTGACTATTCAAAAGCAGAAAAAGGCCATTTTCAGTAATTAAACTAGAAAATATATTGTGTCTAGTACAACGTACTCTATACACTAAAAAAAATCAATAATATTAAGAAGCACCATAAATCTCATTATTGATTATTTTATATTTTTAATGGCTCTATAAAATGCACAGTGATTTTTTTTCTTTAAATCACATTCAGCATACTTTGGTCATAGGATTCCCTCTTCATTTTATCTGAGACACATGGTCAGTATTTCACCTATACTTTAATAGTTATACATAGAGGCAAACAGGGGTGCCTGGAGATTTAACCTCAATGCTATTAGAATCCATTCTTATTAGTGAATGGTAACACTTATGTTCTTTCTAGAGGTATGAGCCTGCACGTTTTATGCCTGACCTAATTTAGTAGTATTCCATGAAATTAATCTTAAAAAGAAGAAACTATTTTTTGTAAATTTGCTGTTCATGTGAGAAATCTCAAGAGTTCTCATTAACAGAAAACTACATTCATGTGATCAAGAAAGCTTTTGTCATCCTGCAGATGAAATAAGCCTGTGTGGAGTCATGAACTAAATTGAAACAATTTGAAAAAGCAGCTAAAACAAAAGGAGGCTTTCTTCTGATGATCTTACTAAAAGGAAGAAGGACTATCTCTATGAAAACCAATTATTCATGTGAACGGATAGTTTCCATGAACAAAAAGCAGCTAAGAAGGAAGTCCAGTGTGTGCCCATAGTGCCTGAAGCAGAATTTGTCCCCTTGCTGCATGGTTTTTGTTTGACACACAGGCAAATAGCCCTTACAGCAGTCACTTGAACACTCCCAGATGCAACAAAGTCCTCTTAATTTGTACACAAATGGAAGCCTACATGTTTTGCTACTATTAAAAGCACGTTGGCATATCATGAGGTGTTGTAGAGTCCAGCTGACTTCCTGAAATGCTTAGAAGTTAACTACTATTAGTAATATATCATATACAAATGCATATAATTGTATATTTTTATCTATATATCTTTGAAAATATGTGATTTTTAATGTATACACATTGTTTATCTGTAAAAAAGGAATGAGACAGACTTCTGCACAAGGATAGCTCATTCTCCATATTTATGGTTGGCATAGACAGCTGTAACTGTATCTCCTTGATCAAGGCCATTGAGAAAAGTCATTAAGGCTGTTAACTGCTGGTGAGGTCTGCTAGTCGCACATTTCAAGTCAAAATAAGGGCAGAGAGAGGGAGAGGAGAAGGTTTTGTGGCTTGTTGGTTTTAATTTTGTGTTGTTTCAAGAAAGTAAACCCTTCCAACTATATCACAAGCTATCCTTGACAGCAAAAAGCAGATTTAAATTGTACATCAAACCTCAAACTGCTATCTTCTCAAAAAAGTCGTGATTTTATATAATGAAGAAAAAGCAATCAATTCACTTCCAATCACCTTATTTGCACAAGAAATATATTAGTTATTGTCTCCCTTAGGGGCGCTTGGTGGAAAACATATCCAGTACATTCTGAGTCAGTGGTAGAACTGCTACATTCCCAGCAGTGTTAGCACCAATTTATTCTCCCATAAGTTAAGCATTCCTACAGTATGAGTATTTTACTAATATGTTAAACATGTGCCTTTCCCAGAAATTGGCATCAGCCATTTAATTCTTTTATTTTTCAAGATCATTCCATGCATTTACTCTTGTATGAGACTCAAGACAAATCCTTTGGTAACTTTTAAGGAAAAACATCTGTAGTTTGCATTTAATAAAAACTGCAGAATCAAACATCATATTTGATTCATCTTAGTACTTCCAAAACTGGAAGCATTCTGGCATGCCCGTTGTGTTTAACATCCCTGTTTAAATTCTGAATTTGTAAATATTTCATTATTGCTTATGATTACTTCTAATAACAAAAAGCACCCCAGGGCTGCAGGGAGCACTAGTGGTGGTTCGGGAGCCTTCCTGGCTCTAAGATGACCTAAGGTCCTTGCTCAGCCAGGACATGAAATTCTCACCTCTGCTTGCTCCTAAACACAAAAACAAACAGTGGCCTGTCTACTTCACACAAAATATGCAGCTGCTCTAACAGATGGTCACCTATATAAAGTATAAAGGTTAGAAGAAAAAATCCAAAATAATGAAATAATGATGTTAGTTGCAAAATATACTATTCTCATCAGGAGAACTGGAACTGCTTTGTAAAGGCAGTCTGAGTTTCTGAGTGATAATCAGAAATAGCAGAAGTCAAGGCACATGGCTACTTAATGTTAAGTACAGCAAAATTAGAATCTGTGTATTTAAGAAATTTATTCTATACATCAGTGCTAGTCTAGCCTCTAGACAGTGATGTAGCCAATTTACATTCATCTAACAAGGATGTCACTAAGTACAACTTTTTATCCCTGAAGACAAGAAATAGTATCTGTGTGTGCCTTGTGATGCCAGAAAATACCAATAATAGAATTAAGTTGACTTAATGAATTTTTAGTGCTATCTATATGTTTACTTTTTGTAAGGTCTTCTATTTCACATTCAGCGTGTCACCTAAGACTAACAGGTTGGCACCAAGGAGTTAAACATTTTTGAGACAAGATTCCAGCTATTCAGATTTGCAATAGTTTCCCAATGGTTATTCTCAGGTGTTGCTTCCTGTCATTATTCTGCTTTCTATTTATGTAGAGCAGGACTTTTTTCTTTTTTGTAGAATGGGGCTTTTTCCTTTTAGCATGTTCTGAAGCTTATTTCAATGACGAGTCAGTAAACTCCTCCTTTCAGAGGAACTAAAGCCTTGCTTTAGACAATACTTCTGAAGTCACTTGCTGAACATCTCTGTAAATAAGAATTGTCTATGCATTGTGTGAGTCTCATTTGTTATGGGTACCAAGAGCAGAGGAAAAAAAGTTATATAGATCAGGCCAGCTCAGATCCAACAAGGTGACAGCAGCTTTGGAGTCCTTCAGAATGTGGCTTCTGGACAAGCCAAACAAGACAAAACTTAGGTGGTAGTGAGCTGAACTGAAGCCAGTTTTGGCTTGCCTGCCATGCCCTGCTGCCACATTTGTGGGGCCAAAGTGTCTCTGTGGGTCAGGCAGACCCAGCTGCAGCTCCTGAACTGGCTCCACATGTTTGCAGTGTCCACATTGAGCACTCGTGGGAGACAGACACAGGTGGCACACCAAGCTTCAGCAGTGGAGCTAAATTCTTCCTCAGTCTGGGAAAGAGAGCTTCTTCCAGTCTGGTTTTGTTATAGATAATGGAGTCTTGATTTTAATGCTTCAGAATATTTAGCCTTACTGGAAACCCTATAAATATTATTCTACTGTACAATATTGAGCAAACTTGAATGTGCAAACCCTGCCAGTTCCAAAATGAGATCATTAGCACACAATAAACATCAATAACTTTTCCCAGAAAGTTTCCATAAAAGTAAATTTAATAATACAGACATTCATGACTTTCTTTGAAAAAAATATTTATCTTTGAAAATGATACTGTACTACTTACTGGCCCTGTGCTACTGAGAAGCACTTTAGACAAATGTTCTCTACTATTCTTCTTGCTTTAGATTGACATGGACTTCACAGAAACATTTATTTTACCAGACTGATATAAAACTCTGAAATGCTTATGCTCTGTGATTTGCTTATACAGCATTTAAACTCCTTGTGAATGCTCATGTTTGAAAATTTCATTTTTTTCTTTGCCTACATTAGAAAGATTTGGTATTTGTTTTATGTATGAAAAATACTTGGCTACATCACCTTCACACCTGTTTCATAAAGATAGACTTGCAGTCCCTATGTTTTGGTTTGTTTATTTTGAGAGACAAGATGTTTGATCTTTAAATGGGGGTTGACTGCAGGTTACTGAAAGCTCTGTATGGGCGCTATAGAAAAAATATGTCCAACATGCTTTTAAAAAATCATCACATTCCATATGCCTAGTTTACATTCATATTCAATTCTTCATCTTTTCACTTCTTCATTCTTCCTGTGTTAAAGATCTGATGGTTTCATTCCAACTTGTTTTTTAAAATAATCTGATAATTTTAGCATCAATTGCAAACATGCATTTCTTGTCTTGTGCACTAATTTGAATTCACCTTTTAATCTCTTTATTCATGCTTTCCTCTTCAGAAAATGCCATCAAGTATTAAAAAAATTAAAGTTTATATCATTTACACATATTCTATTTTTATAAATGTGTATGTATTAATTAACAGTAGTAATTAACAGGTAGCTATTCTAGCCTGGAAAGCTTGTTCATCCTATTAATTGTCCAGGTCCTACAGAAATCAGTGTGAAAACTCACATAAATGAGCTAGGATTTCACTCTTAACTTGTTCTAAAAGGAAAATACCAGGTTCCTATACAGTGCAGTGTCCAAAGATCAATATGCCAAGCCTCTGGAAGAAAAACTCATTGCCAGCTTATATACAGCAAGATTGAGACAATGGGTTTCATAGACCAAACCAGATTTTGCACACTTTCTCTCAAAAGTGAGCTGTGTTCATACAGACTGAATTTTACTGGTTCCAAATGCCTGCAGGCTGTCCTGACAAGCCTTGTCAAGTCCAGACTTACAGGTTTCATTGGTCTCCTTAGGTCAGAGACATTATGTAAAGCTGAGAAGGAAATGAAAGTAGACAGGAACCCTCTTACAAATTACCTTGGAACATCTGCAGAAATTGCTAATAGGCTGCTGAGCCCTTGTCTCAGCACAGATGCTTTGCCTTCTTCCTCAGCCATGGCCCCCCACCTAGATCTTCACTGGACCACCACAGTAAATGACCATGGTCCTGTGCAGCACCTGCTTGAAATGTGATTGGACAGAATTAGCATAGAATTAAGAAAAATAAATCTAGTTCTTATAAGTTCCTTCAAAATACTTTTTCCCGCAAGGATCAGTACTGTGTCGCCGAGCTGAATATCTCAATAAATTGTGAGAGCTAATTTATAGTTTTAAAATACAAAAATATGCTTTTGTATTTTTCTGATTTTACATAATTGTGCACAGCCTGTTCTGGCAGAAAAGAACAGCTGTCTGAAGTAACTTCTTGTTACATCTCCAATGGCACATATTTTTCTATCTAGTTACAGATAATTATATGCAATTACAACATTTTAGTAATCTTTGTGAAACAGCTAATTTAGTTGTCTCTTTTTTTGTCTTTTTTTTTTTGTCTTTTAATTCTCTCCCTTCATATTCTGAAGAGTAATATGAAATGCAGAATGGATTGGAGAAGGATTTCACAACAATTTTTAATATTCTTAAATGTGGACCATCTACAAATCCCATCTTTACTGTTACAAATTTTGTCCAGGCATTAGAACACTGTATTGAGTACAGCTCTCCTGTACCTTGTAAGGAATTTTCAACCTTTTCTGCTAGAAAAAATCCAGCCAAATGGAGTCAATGCATGGTTCAGCTAAATTGACTGTTCATTTAAAACTCCAAAGAGGCAAAGGCCCCCTGTAATTGTTTTTAGGACTTTCCCTTCTGAACTGTCAGTGGAGCAAGTCCTTGCCCCTGAGTTGCTGCATGTGCTGTACTGCACCAAAAAGAGGCCAGTGCCAAAACTGCAAGGTGACTGCAGATTTTCTGCCTGTCATGCACTTCAGTCTGTGCACAGGTACTAAAATCCTTCTACACTGCAGGTGTGTGTGGTCTTTTAACAAGTAGGCACAAAAGAGTATAAAAATTTGCTTCATACAAAAAAAAAAGAGAGTAATTTATTGGTAAATTTTTATAATACCTTAATTAGACTAGTTAATTAATACTTCTGGAGCATGTGAAGGCTGCCTTTCTCAAGTGGGGGAAATTAGAGAACTGTAGATCTCTTTGAAAATCTTGGCTGTTACTCAAATTATGTTAATTCCTATGAGATTTCTTCTTGAAACACAGAATTTCCACCCCCCCACCCCCAAAAACCTGCAGTGAATCCCATAAAGTAGGTACACAGAATCATACAGAAATGAACGAGCTTTGATTTTTCAGTGCCCAGCAACCAGAAAGAGAATCAAGGTTAAATAGAGACGCAAATATTGTATAGTTCTTCTTATCAGAGTATCTCATTAAAACCAGACAGTTTTGTAATATTACATAACATTCTTGCACTTCCAAATACTGGGATGTGCATCATCTTTGAGTATTAATTTTGGTAAAGGTTTGCTAATCTATGGACAAACACATGCAGGTTAGTTTTCACTAGAGCTGGTAAAACAAAACTTCTGGACACAGGCTAAGGAACAGACAAAAAGACAGCTCTGGGTTTTCTGCAATTGTGTGTTTATATAGTGTATGAGGAAGGAAGTAGTAAATAAGGAAGCTTGTTTCAAGTAGGGGCTGTATGGACAATTTTGTACATTTCCAGCATTTTAAAGGCAACTGCAATATAGAGAAAAGAATAAATGTAGGGTTGTAGAAGGTATTACCTGTTTCATCTACTGACTGCCATTTGAAAAATGCAGATTTCTACTGTTCTTTCAGAACCTGGGAGAGTTCTTTTCTTGCTAATAGTAGATTTTTAAGTTTCAGTGCCAAAAAACTTTAGTAGATTATCAGCCTTTGCTACAAACACTACTCAAGCAAACCAACTGCCCATTTGTAGTTTAAATTACCCAGCAAACATAATGGAAAATTAAAACAACATAGCCTTGCAACACACCCAAAAGGCTTCTTAGATAAGACTTCATACACCTTTTAAAGGCATGACAAATTAATGACTATCTTTGCATAATCAAGCATTTATTAGAAAACTTTCTGAAGAAATTGTTTAGTAAAAAATGAAAATATTGTACAAGTCAGCTGTGAAGAATTCAAAAGGGTTTCTGTGTATGCAAACACAATGCCTTATTTTTCATACTGTCATATGCCATAAATTTAAGTGCTCAATATTGGACCAGCCAGGTGTCAAAAATGAGTAGTGAACCTGCTAGAAGAGATGTTTTCCATTTCTTAAGCATCATCCTGGTGACAAAACTGTTTGGCTTTTTCATTTTCACATATACTACTAGCAGAGATAAAATACTATCTCTCTTTAAATAACTATCTTTAGACCAAATCCATTCACTTCAAGTGAGTTCAGCATGATAAATACTTTGATTTCTGAAATGATAAATTATAAAATTCCTAAAATGATAAAAATCATCTAAACAGTACTATTATTAGTAGTATTATATATTAGTATTATTAGTACATCTAAACACTTAGTACTATTAAGTTATTTTTTGACACTTCTGACAAAGGATTTGCTTTATGATTTAAGCCTAATGTAAGCACAGTGTGCAGTAGGCTTTTCTCTTTTCTCAATGGTACTTGACCTTTACTTCACTGAATGGGTACCTTAATCTGTTAGGCACTGTATGCTGTTTCCTGTGGGAATTTGAGTTCTCAGTCAGACTTGATTGCTTTCCATTATGGTTTAAGGTGTTAGGAGACTCAACAAGACTGTTCCACTGTCAGAACACTGATCTAAAAAGAGCTCATGAATGACTGGTCACTCTTTAGTGGTCTGCTGTATGATGTAGGTTTTCCTATGATCTGTGCATTATGTGATCAATTTGCACCACAAATTTGAATCACATTCCAGTTATTTGTTTCTTCTGTTGTGTTTCTCCCTGCTGGCCAGCCTGTCCTGATGCCAGCATGAGACTCTCATAAAAAGGTCAGCATTGCTAGGTGAGTCATCTGCCATTACACAGAGAAAAATTTAATTGATCAATCATCCAGGTCAAATGCTTTTCATGATTTTAATAGACCTCAGTAAGGTTGGTGATTGAGAATAGGTTGCCTCAGGATTGTTCTCTGGAGTGAACTTGTTAAAATATTTACAGGATGAACCTCTCAAATCTCCTTTGACATGTATCCAGTTTTTTAATTAATTCATGTAGACTATGCCTGCACAATTTGGTCATATGTTGGCACTGAGTCGTTGTGATTTCCCTCCTCGTCTGCTTTACCACTAAAATAATGACATAAAAAAACTGTATCACTGATCCAAAGTCATCCATCTCTGTGTCTTTTGTAGCCTTGCAATGAGTAGGCAATTTTGCTACTTTCATTGCAAAAAGCCACATTGTGATCAGGAAGCCTTTGGAAATTCTTCTGAACTCCAAGTTCAGAAAATGTGTTTTAAATCCTGCATGTTGCATTTGAACCAAAGATAAATCAGTGAATAATAGAGAAAAACACTATTACTAGGATACTCAAGTTTGCCATGGTTGTGGTTCCTTCTTTCATGACCTCAGTGTTCACTTAAGGTACCAGTTGTACGTTAATATGAAAGAAGCATTATACTGACTGTAACAAAATTAAAATTACAAGAGCATTTTTCTATACATCTTGACAGATATTTTAAAACACTAGCAGAGGTCTACCACTGATTTGTCTGAATATAAAGATTGCCATCACCCTTACAACGTTTTCTCATCTTCCATTATGATGCTTTCCACAGTGAGCTGGCAAGATAAAGGTATAATTATGCAAACATGAGTAACTCTGCAGTTCTCTTTAAACAGTAAGTTATCTTCATAACAAAAAGGATTCAAAATCTGTTTCCAAAAGCATATCACTCCTGGGGAAGGTTATATTTCCCTAATTACTCTCAACAGCTCCATCTCAGGATTCTCAGCACATAAAATAGTTTTTATTTGGAGAATACCTATGAAAAGCCAGCTGCAGCTCTACAAATGCTGCATATTGTCAGATTATATAAATTTAGCTCTTAAAGTCCTGATGCCTAGAGAAATAAATGGGTTCTATGTTTTCAAAATCTCAGACGAGGGTTTAGTGATAGTCATTTGTTTTAATACACTGTTGTGTGGTCTTTATGTCCTGTACACTTCAGTGATTTCTTACGAATTTCATACAGCACTGATGCAAATGGTGCAGCCCTGGGATGGGAAGGGAAAGGCACAAATGCACCAGCACAGAGCCTGCTCAAGTCTGGCAGCAACAGAGCAGTGACAGCACGAGGCAGACAGTGCTGGTGGTGACTCAGAGGCCATGGTGCACACAGGGGCTGCTTTGGGGCCCCACTGCTCTCTCCAGCAGTGCACAAGTACAATGTCCTACCTCAGCCTGAGCTCAGCTTCTGATTTATTGAACTGTAGTTATTTATTCTGCCCAACAAAATAATAAATTGTGTTTTTATGCTGTGCTGCAAATAAAGGCACTGAAAGAGCTGAGTAGCCATTTCAAATTATTTCTCTGAAAAATGTGCTACAGGCTCCATCCTTAGCAGATATTACTATATTCTTGCTAAAGAAAGAAATCATAAAAAGGCAGAATACTGTGTTAATGTTTGCATCTGTTCTAGCTAACAAAGCTACTATCCAGAAGCCAGTACATCTACCACGAATAGTGTTAGGATCATATACAGTGATTAGTAAGAATATGCAAGTACAAAACATTTGTATTGTGAAAGTCAGCCATATTGCTTACATGCCTGCAGGGATCACTTTGGTTCAGTTGAAATGCTGATCGTGAAATAGACAATTAAAAAGTTCAAGCTATTGATTTTATTGATACAACAGAAAAGTTAGAAGCATAATGTCACATTTTTGGAATCTTCTGGAGTATATATTTCAGTAAGTGACAATGCTTATCAGCTTGCAAATCTTGACTTTTGTCCTTTTCAGAAATAACCTGCTTTTACAGGCTACCTGCCCACTCCAAGGTTTCCTCCTTGGTCTCACTCCCATCTTCTCATCACAGCTGCACAGCTCTTGCCTGCAAAGTATGAGCAGTCTCTTTAGGAAACACACCCCAACACCTCCAAGTTTCATCCTTAACTTCCTTGCTGAGTT